TGAGATCCTAAGGATAAAAGGAAACTTGTCCCATCTAATTTCGAAATGTGATTGACAGGAGTATCACAAGGCAAAAATCCAATCTCAAACACGTCAACGATCTTTTGATTTATGAAATCGTACACTACCAAAGCTAAATCATTTTTCAAATCATTTGTAAATGCTACACACTTTCTGTTTTTCCACACAAAGACTTTTGAACAATATTTATTGGAAATTATAACTTTCTCACCAGATGGCAAACAGATGTAATTCATTTTTATTTTAACATTCAAGTCGGATTGGAAATAAGGCTGCGAAAACATTTGAAAGGAATCATTACTACACAAATTCTGGTCAACACAAATATTGTTGTTATCAGTTAAAGTTTCAGAATTCAAGACGTTCATGTAATGCAGATCTTCCCCCAACATATAATGTTGCCAAAGAAGAATGTACGAGTTACAATTACTAAACAAACAATAAGACCATAAACCACACGTATTATCAACTTCAACCAATAAATTCTTCCTTTTTACATCCCACACTTTGACTGACGATTCCTCTAATGTGACAAGTTTCATTCCACATGAAGAAAATGAACATTCACTGATGTCATCAGGGCCGTGCGTAATGAAGGGGACCTCTTTCTTTTCTTTAATATTGATGCAGAACTGGATTGAATTGCATAAAATATATGAAGAGTCTGGAGAAAAGGCATAGAACAGGTGAGGAGATCCTTTTGTAATTTGTGCCTCAAAGATTGTTGTAAGATCTGGTATTTTAAGCATTCGAACTTTTCGCTCATGCGCATGTATGCAAGCAAGTATCATGTTGTCCGGTGACACTAAAACATATAAATCAAGTGAACGGACTTGAATCACAACTTCCGGGACAATGCTTAAATTAGAATTGCTTTCAGTTGTCACATATTCTATCCAAATCTCATTTGTCCCACCCAAGATATCCCTAGCTACACTTTTGGAATTGACGGCACCTTGTGAAAAATCAAAGTGCCCATTAGCAAGTGCTTGTAAATATACGTAACAACGATCTTTTTCATAAGTCTTAAATATTCCTCTCTCAGAGTTAACTTTTACCATTTCGGAGAAAAAAATGTGTTGAATGAGGCCCCAATAAATATCTTTGGAAAGTTTAGAACGGTACGTGCCAAGATTTCGGCTTAAATATAAAAAAAACTCACTCAATTCATTAAAAAATTTTAGTTTCAAGAAGTTTATACCAACATGCACCAACCAATGAAACTCCTCTACCTCGCATGTATCGACCAAATATTTCCCACCGTTTTTTAAAGCGTACCTATTCTCGGCTGAAATTTGGAATTCTAAAACAGATTTCAAAGCATCTATCTCGCAGAATTGTTTCTTACAAGCAAGCCAGAGACGTCTATTACCGTCTTCAACATCTGCAACGAATGCATGTTCTTCATAACCGTTCAATGTCAGCCAATCCCATAATGACTTATGATAAACAGTCAGACACCCATCGTAAACTGGAAGAATCTCTGACATTAGGTCAAGAACTGCTTTACGTATTTTAAATTCATCTTTAGAGAGACCAATGCATGTGAAGAGAACTTTTATTGGAAGGGGCTCCTTAGAAACGGCAACGACATTGATGAAACTGTTTAAGAGACATGATGTATCTTGCTTGAAATGTTGGAGGCCTGTTTCTAAACGTTTGAACTGTTTTTCGTAATATCCCGAAATACCGTTGGAGATGTAATCACTTAGATCGGGTTCAATTCCCACGCCCTTTTCTTTCAATTCACTGACCAAGTAATAAGCGTACAAAAACGATCCCTCACACTTTGAAATAACTGACCTTATACTTTTATCATCAAGATTATGTAAACTATGACGAACAAAAAGCTCTATGTCGTCGTTGTGATCTTTGTCATCAGGACGGATTTCCCACGGGTGAAGATGTTCAAGAATCTTTCGTACTTGTAGCTCTGGTCGACTTGAAATGAATATCTTAATCCAATCAGGCAGTTCACAAAATCTTTCATGTATCAACTCCAATAATTCACTTTTCTCGTCAGTTTTGCTCTCGTCCAAAGCATCAACAATGATCAACATTGGGTCGTGTCTGTCAAGGGCATGGAGGGGGTCGTTCAAAAGAACACGAAATGCGTCTGACAGCGAGTCACGAGAATGCTCACGACGAAGAATTTCTGTTAGTTTATCACGAAATCCTTCAACATTATCACACATTTGACTGGCAAGAGACTGGAGGATTCTCTGAGGATTGCTGTAATCAGAATTTCGAAAGTCACAGAAATGGTGAGCTGCGAGTTGACCACGTTCTCTAAAAAGCTCGCTAAGCTTTGCAGACAAAACACTTTTTCCAACGCCTGGACCTCCAGTTAAGATCAAGACCCTGGATTCTTCACTCCCAAACCAACTTGAAAGTTTATCAAACAACCACTTTCTAGTGCCATCTTTAAATTTTCTACTAAGGTCACGAATCTTTCCAGCAAAGTTAAATTTAGCCAGTTGCTCGACATGCGAGGGATAAACATTTTCAACTTTCTTAGTTAATTTGACTACTTTACTTTCAACATCGTTTAATTTTGACATGAAATCATCCTCTTGTTGTTTCCACTCTTTTAATATTTCAATATAACTTTCTTCTTCAGGGCTAAGAGGAGCCACCTTTAATTCATCAATAGCATTTTGAGGAATTCCCAATTTGACTAACGGAAGAGAAATTTCTTTCCACAATGTTTCAAACGCTACGTCGTCCAAACCAGCAGTCGGAATATGACCATAGACTTCATTTCTAAACATTTTGACTCTTAAAATATTTGCAGATATAGAAGTATCGCTGACTGGAGGCATCACATTCCATCCGGTGGCTGGTGCGGACAATCCACAAATATTTCGGAGTAGGACAGTCAATAGGGTAATATCAAAGTTTTTTGAATCTGGAGCACCAGATCTTGGGAAGAGTAGATCCCATTGCGAGGCTTTAATTACACTGTATCGTATTCTCTGTAAGGTCTTCTTGTTTGCATTCAATACGGAAGCTAAGGTGGAAGGTGGATGCACCGCATGCAACGCATTTCTTAAAACTTCTCCACCTTTATCTACCAACAAATGACATACCCTTGAATAATTAGCTTTGCCTTTCAATGGATCCATTGTTGTCTTTAAATCTCAACTTCACAATCCCCTAAACCAGAGACACAGTCAGGATAATAATTTTTATAATACTATTATATAAAGGATGTTGAATGGTTTATCAATTATAAGCTTTTTAAAGTGATATAAACAAGTAAAAAGCGTTTTCACTTGGATTTGCGTCTCGTGAAAATATGGAGATCTACCTCATTTTCACTAATCAACTAGCCTGTGCACAGACGTAACGGTCCCTCTTAAATTACGTCAGTGCAAAGGCTACTAATCTACTGGAGATTTGGGAGTGCTAATAAGCACCATTTTTCAAATATTAAGAATAATTAAATAAATTGCTTTTACTTTTTATAATATTCAAAAGATTTTGAAATATTTAACAAAAAGCTACAAAAAATCTGTAACTGTAAATGACGACGCACATTAAAAATTCTCTTGTGCTACAGCTAGATATGTTGGAAAGAATGCTCTCAACTAACTAAACATTTTCTGGTTACACTTGTATCAAACTACGTGGAAACGGGGACTTAGGTACAACACATTAGTGCAAGTTAGGCTCGTTTAAGGCGTCAAATTTTTTATGTGCCAAATCCAGTGCAAAATGAACTTAAGCAAAGACTTTATCTCATTAAAATTAGGTTCTGAACATGAATAGTCGATGTTTGAAAGGGGCCTCATTCATATCTACGCCATATATATATGCAGTAACCTATTAGGGTTTGGGGGTTTTAGTATTGGGCTCTGCGTTTAAATTACTCTTGAACTAGAATTGTTACTCGTTATTAAAGCTAAGACCGAACAGGTGATAATATGGGAAAGAGAGTAAATTTCAGTTATTTAAAAATAATATAAAATATATACAAAATCTTATCAAGTCAGGTCCTATCAAAAAAGGAGACGTCTTTGAAATAACGGAGTATCAGCGGGGGAATGAGCTCCCTCGCGGAGGCGTGGCTCTGGGACACACTATATAGGTTTTTCCTCTTATGTTTGTGAATGGTTCAAATCGTATCTTACTCACAGATGCCAAGTCACCGTCGTTTATAATAAGCAGTCCTCTGTAAAGCCTGTGAATGTAGGGGTCGCACATGCATTCTTGGGCCGCTTTTATTCATTATCTATGTGAATGTGAACAATTTACCAAATTGTATCAAGTCATGTAATATCTCTATGTATGAGAATGATACTGTCGACTACTTTTCTTCTGGTGTTTCCATCGGTATCAATGGGACAATGTTGATCGGTTAGATACTACATTTAAATACCTTGGAATTACAATCAACAAAAACGTTTAAACATAAGCGGGTCAATGTGTAATTCGAAACGTATTTTGAAGAAGACACACGGCATTCAAACAATTGCAAAGGGCTTATCAGGCGATTGTGCGTGATGAGGATGCAAGTTTTCCATGGATGATGAACTGGGATGGAATTCTTAGTTTTTATCGCTTAAATAACTTACAGAATGTGCCAATGCGAAGTCTAATTTTACTCGAGACATGCATTCCCTGATTAATTTCAATACCTATGCTCTAGTAACACTCTGTTGTCTAGATGACATTGGTGTAGGGAGTTGATTAAAAGATGCCATTGTATTAAATAAATAAACGTTTTTCGCCGATATTTAACCAAAGAGATAGACAAGGCACGTTTAGCTGATCTATTGTATACTGTATATAGATCACGTAAAACTGTACTAGCTGTAGGGAGCTACATTAAACTGATCTTTTACTATAGATCACGTAAAACTGTACTAGCTGTAAGGAGCTACATTAAACTGATCTTTTACTATAGATCACGTAAAACTGTACTAGCTGTAGGGAGCTTCATTAAACGGATCTTTTACTCCGTAAATTATTCGCACCTTGACTCAGAGAACTTCTCACATGAGTTGAATAACTTTGAGTTGTCCTCGCTGTAAACACTCAACCAACATTATACAACATTGTGTATAAGCGAAATAATGGTAGATCTCCTCCTAAAATTATAACAGAAACAATTATAAACAAGGATCCAGATGAAATGTTACACACAAAACAGGCACATCAAATGTGGTTCAGAAATTGAGTGTTTTCATTATATTAGTATACAAGAAAATGTCGAGGCAAAGACCAGTTTTACTGAAATATGTAAAAAGACGTCATTGTTGAAAATCTCCAAAGAAGTCTAATTTTCCGCTACGCTGCTCCAAAATCGTACAATCTGGGACTGTATATAATTTTACATTTATTCAGGAGTAAACACTTTAAAACAAATGACAAATCTAATACACAACTAACTTACAACAATGATTTTAACCTATATTTATAATAACAAAACAGGATGCCTGTTATGTTTTTCTGTAGTTTTCGCTCCACTACAACCCACATTTGCGTCCGCTTACGTTATTATGTGGGATATTGGTTTCGCGGTTGCTGCTATTACGTGCTACCTCAAAACCTCCATTTCCTATGCTATATGATACTACACTATTAACACTTACATAATAATTCCTTTATTAACAATGCATATTACAAATTACGACCATAACACTATATTTTTGCGCATACTATGTAAATGACTGTTTACTTTTGGTTGGTGTACTCAACCATGCGTTAACCTAAATTCTGGAACAGTTGTTAATATTTTTTGGGCAACATATTTGACAGTTGGTGAGCCCCACTTAATAAAAAGTTAGTTTAAGATGCACCAAATCTACGACGCGGACGTGGCATGAAAATTGCTACTAGTGTCAGTATTGACAGAGCCACTATATCATTTCATATGCTCTACAAAGATTATATCATTTCAATATACTGGAGTGCGGCAATGAGAAATTAGTGAGTTTTATTGATATTATTCTGACACTTCACATGATATTTCACGAGACCAGGCAGCTTCAGCTTTTGTGTGATAAACAACGAAGAAATAATAAATAATGACAACAGTCAATCTGTTCGGAGCATTCATAAATGCATATCTATAGATATTCGCAATATTGCTGTGACATTGCTTCATCTATTTTGTTGTATTTTGAGAACATGGTAATCATAAATGTACGACATCAGTTGTGATATTGCTTCAGCTTTTATGTTGTATTTTGAGAACGGAGCAATCATAAATATATAAATATTTAATATGTATATTCGCGATAAACTTATAAAGTATATATTTAGTTGTGACATTGCTTCAGACGTTCAGCTTTTATGTAAAGAACGGAGCAAAAATATGTAAATATATAAACGTCACATTTTTTAACAGTTCGCAGTTCGAGTATTTTCGCGGTTTGAGCCGTTTAGGCTATTCCAAGAGACTTCTAAGTTTATTATTGCGAAGCGTACGCCGTACGGTGTCATATTAGTAAATTCGAGTTAAACGAATGTTAAATAAGGTAATTTCCACTCGTACAAATGTTACCAATGGTAAGGTCATTTGGCGTGCATGCGTGAGACCGTGCTCAGCAGGAGAAATTCCAATTAATAAAAATCGCAGCATGACACAATTGACGACACGAAAACTCTTACAACATTGGTACAATTTCCTTTTTACCATTGGTATACGTTCATGTTCGTATTCACAACACGAAAATATAAACTACCAATGATAAAATAACTTAGTCTATTGCAGTATTGGTATACTTGCTACAATATTGGACATGCGTGGGTGATTTAGCAACGATGTTTATATATATTAGAATGCATTTTAATTTCTTTGTTGTTGTTTCGTTGCTTCGCCAAATCTCCGGCGAAACTTTGCAAAAACCTCTTTCGCACTGACTTTCCTTTTATATATTTCCAATAGATTCAATCTCATAGCAATTTTGCTTGAAGATACTTGCAGAAACTGCAGCTTTATATTGTTCGATTGTTTCACCGTCACGTCTGTTAAACTAAAAGCGTTCGTAGGTTTCATTTGTTTCAACGATAAGAGTCTCTTCAAATTTCTTTATAACTTTAGCTAAATCGTCTTTACCATTCCTAACCGTAGAATGCATTCTTGAAACATTCCCTGCGGTTTGGGTAATCATTGTCAAAAACAATGCGGTAAATAATGCGGCAGTACTGAGCATAAATCTCCCATCCTCGACGAAATTTTTTCCAGTTAGTCGCCAAATTACCAACTTTCTTAAATTCTTAAGCTTATGTAGAATTATCCGCACAACCATAGTATTTATAGAATATGAAATTTTCGCTTTACCTTCGACTATCACGATCAGACATTGCTTAGTTCGACTGAATGTCTTACCGAGTAAAATTAAAACAACGCTGTTCACAATCCTACATCGGAAATCTATTCGGTGGGTTTAACATAATTACAATTCAAAATATGAGCTTTCTTATGTGAACTTCACAGCTTCTAAATTAAGAGTGACTAAACATTACGTCTGAATCTGGCTAAAAACTTAACAAAAAGCTCGCCTTCCATGCATGATAAGTATCGCAACAGCTAGCAATCTAGTGTTTATTTAAAATATTTGACCAACCAAAGCCTCTCTGTAATCGTATATAACCTTGAATCTGACAAGAAGAATCTTGTCTACAATTTGATTTGCTCGTGAGTGGAGAAACAGCCAACATTACATGACAGACTGTTAATGTTGCACAAAATGACGCGGACATAACTGTGCATCTTGTTGATGTGTGTTTTACCTGAACACTGACATCATGCTTTCAGCAGCTTTTATACCCATGGGTAAGCTAGTAAATTGTGTAATAGATGAAAATCATAATATACCTTTTATTCCAAGTACAAGAGCGAATATAAGAAATCTATTAAAATATCGTTTTACCAGAAGAAATATGACGAACTAATTATTTGTTTTTTGATCGCATCATTCATAAATAACAATTATCAAACCAGTGACAGTTTACTGTCTGTTTGAAAATTTCAAATATTCCTTGGCGTGCAGCTGAAATTTCTCAGTTTTCCTGACTTATTTTTAACCTTCACTGCACGGGGAGTAAAACTGGTTTCCACTTACACGTTTTTATACCCACGGACTTCTAAGTTTATTATTGCGAAGCGTACGCCGGCGGTACGGTGTCATATTAGTATATTCGAGTGTAAAGGAATGTTGTTATATAAAGTAATTTCCATTCGTACGAATGTTACCAATGGTAAGGTCATTTAGCGTGCATGCGTGAGACCGTGCTTAGCAAGAGACAATCGCAGTATGACACAATTGACGATACGAAAACTCTTACAACATTGGTACAATTTCCCTTTTACCATTGGTATAAACTACCAATGATAAAATAACTTTGTCTATTGCAGTATTGGTATACTTGCTACAATATTGGACATGCGTAGCTGATTTCAGCAACGATGTTTATATATATTAGCATGCATTTTAATTTCTTTGTTGTTGTTTCGTTGCTTCGCCAAATTTCCGGCGAAACTTTGCAAAAACCTCTTTCGCACTGACTTTCCTTTTATATATTTCCAATAGATTCAATCTCATAGCAATGTTGCTTGAAGATACTTATAAGTAATAGCACGGCTTTGAGGTCGATTAGCGATTAAATGTCCCCGAAAGCCGAGGCAGGTTTAGTAAGGCAGGTTTTATAATATTATGGCTACCGAGACAATAGGAATACTTTTATAGTTATTCGATGTGCTGGGAGATAAATAAATAACAAAGGCGGATATTTGGCATAAACATTAGATAGGATTAGTTAGTAATCGTCCCTAATGTATATGCATCGGGTTATTTAGTTGTTAATCGGTACTAGTAAAACAAAGAATGCATTCCTGAAACATTCCCTGCGGTTTGGATAATTATTGTCAAAAATAATGCAGTAAATAATGCGGCAGTATAGCATAAATCTCCCATCCTCGACGAGATTTTTTCCAGTTGGTCGCCAAATTACCAACTTTCTTAAATTCTTAAGCCTATGCAGAATTATCCGCACAGCCATAGTATTTCTAGAATATGAAATTTTCGCTTTGCCTTCGACTATCACGGTCAGACATTGCTTAGTTCGACTGAATGTCTTACCGAGTAAAACTAAAACAACGCTGTTCACAATCCTACATCGGAAATCCATTTGGTGGGTTTAACATAATTACATTTCAAAATATAAGCTTTCTTATGTGAACTTCACAGCTTCTAAATTAAGAGTGACTATAAACATTACGTCTGAATCTGGCTAAAAACTTAACAAAAAGCTCGCCTTCCATGCATGATAAGTATCGCAACAGCTAGCAATCTAGTGTTTATTTAATATATTTGACCAACCAAAGCCTCTCTGTAATCGTAACCTTGAATCTGACAAGAAGAATCTTGTCTACAATTTGATTTGCTCGTGAGTGGAGAAACAGCCAACATTACATGAAAGATTGTTAATGTTGCACAAAATGACGCGGACATAACTGTGCATCTTGTTGATGTGTGTGTTTTACCTGAACACTGACATCATGCTTTCAGGCAGCTTTTATACCCATGGGTAAGCTAGTAAATTGTGTAATAGATTGAAATATTCATAATATACCTTTTTATTCCAAGTACAACAGAGCGAATATAAGAAATCTATTAAAATATCGTTTTACCAGAAGAAATATGACGAACTAATTCCTTGTTTTTTGATCGCATCAGTCATAAATATAACAATTATCAAACCAGTGACAGTTTACTGTCTGTTTGAAAAATTCAAATATTCCTTGGCGTGCAGCTGAAATTTCTCAGTTTTCCTGACTTATTTTTAACCTTCACTGCACGGGGTGAGTTAAAACTGGTTTCCACTTACACGTTTTTTATACCCACGGACTTCTAAGTTTATTATTGCGAAGCGTACGCCGGCGGTACGGTGTCATATTAGTATATTCGAGTGTAAACCAATGTTATATAAGGTAATTTCCATTCGTACGAATGTTACCAATGGTAAGGTCATTTAGCGTGCATGCGTGAGACCGTGCTTAGCAAGAGACAATCGCAGCATGACACAATTGACGATACGAAAACTCTTACAACATTGGTACAATTTCCCTTTTACCATTGGTATACGTTCATGTTCGTATTCACAACACGAAAATATAAACTACCAATGATAAAATAACTTTGTCTATTGCAGTATTGGTATACTTGCTACAATATTGGACATGCGTGGGTGATTTAGCAACGATGCTTATATATATTAGCATGCATTTTAATTTCTTTGTTGTTGTTTCGTTGCTTCGCCAAATTTCCGAAGAAACTTTGCAAAAACCTCTTTCGCACTGACTTTCCTTTAATATATTTCCAACAGATTCAATCTCATAGCAATGTTGCTTGAAGATACTTATAAGTAATAGCACGGCTTTGAGGTCGATTAGCGATTAAATGTCCCCGAAAGCCGAGGCAGGTTTAGTAAGGCAGGTTTTATAATATTATGGCTACCGAGACAATAGGAATACTTTTATAGTTATTCCATGTGCTGGGAGATAAATAAATAACAAAGGCGGGTATTTGGCATAAACATTAGATAGGATTAGTTACTGATCGTCCCTAATGTATATGCATCGGGTTATTAGTCGTTGGGCCGCCTGCGGCGCCAACGACTATAGGTTTCGGTATTGGTAGTTCACAAAATGACAAATTACGTCATTTAAATTACGTAATTTTTACGAAATAAAATTCAAAATCAGTGGCGACCATGTTATGAAACATACACAATTTATAGTTTTGTACGCACGCCAACTATAGCGTATTGTAATAAATTTTTGTTCAGTTGTGTTTTTTCTTTTGGGATTTAAGATTCCCCATAAAGTTATCACGACGTTTCACTGCCGTCTATGAAGCGTGTAGGTTTGTACATAATTTTCATTTTGGTCTTTTGGAACGTTTCACTAAGGGCGCTTATAAATAACTTATAACTTATATATAAGCGCCCTGGTTTCACTGCCGTCTATCAAGCCTGTAGGTAGGTTTGTACATAATTTTCGTTTTGGTGTATCTTTTCTTTTTGTCACAAATAGATATGCCCAACGGCTACACGCTCGAGAGAGCGTCTTGTTTAGTTGTTAATCGGTACTAGTAAAACAAAGGATTTCGAAGCAGCCATGATATTATTGCAGAGACTGCAGCTTTATATTGTTCGATTGTTTCACCGTCACGTCTGTTAAACTAAAAGCGTTCGTAGGTTTTATTTGTTTCAACAATAAGAGTCTCTTTAAATTTCTTTAACTGTAGCTAAATCGTCTTTACCTGATTCCTAACCGTAGAATGCATTCCTGAAACATTCCCTGTGGTTTGGATAATTATTGTCAAAAATAATGCAGTAAATAATGCGGCAGTATAGCATAAATCTCCCATTCTCGACGAGATTTTTTCCAGTTGGTCGCCAAATTACCAACTTTTTTAAATTCTTAAGCCTATGCAGAATTATCCGCACAGCTATAGTATTTCTAAAATATGAAATTTTCGCTTTGCCTTCGACTATCACTATAAGACATTCCTTAGTGCGACTGAATGTCTTACCGAGTAAAACTAAAACAACGCTGTTCACAATCCTACATCGGAAATCCATTCGGTGGGTTTAACATAATTACATTTCAAAATATAAGTTTTCTCATGTGAACTTTACAGCGCTTAAATTAACAGTGACTAAACATTACGTCTGAATCTGGCAAAAAACTTAACAAAAAGCTCGCCTTCCATGCATGATAAGTATCGCAACAGCTAGCAATCTAGTGTTTATTCAATATATTTGACCAACCAAAGTCAGCCTGTAGACTGTAATCGTAACCCTGACTCTGACAAGAAGAATCTTGTCTACAATTTGATTTGCTCGTGTATGGAGAAACAGCCAACATTACATGACAGACTGTTAATGTTGCACCAAATGACTCAGACATAACTGTGCATCTTGTTGATGTGTGTGTTATACCTGAACACTGACATCATGTTTTCAGGCAGCATTTATACCCATGGGTAAGCTAGTAATTTGTGTTTCCTATTAATAGTTTGAAATATTCAGTCTCGGTATAGGTCGTGTACTAGATTGGTTTAAATCATATCTTGAGAAAAGATCTCAACGTATTTGTATCAACGGTTGTGAATCTAGATCATTTGAAATGAGGTATGGTGTTCCGCAAGGGTCTTGTCTTGGTCCTTGTTTGTTTGTCATCTATGCAAGCAAACTGTTCACCATCATTGAAAACCATCTACCTGATGCCCATGCATTTGCAGATGACTCGCAATTATACATTTCATTTAAACCTGGATCCATGGTTGAAGAGTCTGCTGCGATTAAGGCAATGCAAGATTGCATTATGGACATCAGGAAATGGATGCTGGCAAATAAACTGAAACTGAACGATGACAAAACAGAGTTTATCATCATTGGAACAAAGCAACAGTTGGCAAAAGTTAGTGTAGATTCACTGCGCATTGGGAATGAGATGATCAAATCATCTTGTGTGGTAAAGAATCTTGGCTCCTGGTTCGATACGCAGCTGAAAATGGATGTGCACATCAATAAATCCTGCAGAGCAGCATTTTTCCATCTATGTAATATTAGACGTATGAGGAAGTTTCTCAGTTTTGATACGACACAAATTCTTGTTAACGCTTTCATTACGAGTCGATTGGACTACTGTAACAGCCTCCTGTATGGTCTGCCCGCCAACCAGATATGCAAGCTTCAACGAGTACAGAACTCCGCAGCAAGATTGATCTGTGATATTAATCGGTTTGATCACATCACCCCTGTGCTGTATAAATTACATTGGCTTCCTGTTAGATACAGAATTAACTTTAAAATATTACTCATCACTTATAAGGCCATTAACGGATTTGCTCCTGAATACATCTCTGAACTCATTAAATTGAAGGTTGCAACCAGATATAATTTACGATCATCAACTGCATTGTTGCTTGATATACCGAGATCAAAAACATTAAGGACGCTGGGAGACCGATCGTTTGAAGTAGCAGCACCTACGTTGTGGAACAGCCTCCCGGGTGAAATTCGTAATGCATGTAATATTTCTACGTTTAAGAAAATGCTTAAAACGCATTTTTTTATAAAAGCATTTTCCTCCATGTTATGACCAGAACAACTTTTATCTAGTTCTGATCTAGATTTATTGTATGACGTTTTGTAAATTAGTGTATATTTAAATTTTACCAGCAAATTTTTACGATACTATGTAATGCGCGAGTGAGCATCTATCTATGTAACACGCGCAATAGAAATTTTTTAAATTAAAAATTAAATTATATTTTCGGTATTATCTTGAATTGATAATCAATTATTGATAAATATTTAAGGGTGTTGGTACGAGAATGTTGAAAAATTTAATATAAATTAATGATTTAATATACACTATAAAAACAATCAAATTAAAGTAAGATACCTTTTTATTCCAAGTACAACAGATCTGATATCAGAAATCTATTAAAATATCGTTTTACCAAAAGAAATATGACGAACTAACTCGTTTGTTTTTTGACCGCATCATTCACAAATAACAATTATCAAATCAGTTAGTTTACTGTCTGTTCGATAAATTTAAATATTCCTTGGCGTGCAGTTTAACTTCCTCAGTTTTCCTGACATAAATTTTTAACTTTCACTGCACGGGGTGAGTTACGACTGGTTTCCACTTACGCGTTTTTTATACCCACGGACTTCTAAGTTTATTATTGCGAAGCGTACGCCGGCGGTACGGTGTCACATTAGTATATTCGAGTGTAAAGGAATGTTATATAAGGTAAATTCCATTCGTACGAATGTTACCAATGGTAAGGTCATTTAGCGTGCATGCGTGCATGAGACCGCGCTCAGCAGGAGACAATCGCAGCATGACACAATTGACGATACAAAAACTCTTACAACATTGGTACAATTCCCTTTTACCATTTGTATACGTTCATGTTCGTATTCACAACACGAAAATATAAACTACCAATGATAAAATAACTTTGTCTATTGGTATACTTGCTACAATATTGGATACGTGCGGGTGATTTTAGCAACGATGCTTAGAAAGAATTTTAATTTCTTTGTTGTTGTTTCGTTGCTTCGCCAAATTTCCGGCGAAACTTTGCAAAAACCTTTTTCGCACTGACTTTCACTTTAAATTGATTCATGCAATCTCGTAGCAATGTTGCCTGACGACACTTGCAGATAAATTGCGGCATCTTGCTGAAAATTGGGAAAGCCGTCGCGTATATTGTTGGATTAATTGTTTCACCCTATCTCTCGTCACGCCTGTTAAACTTAAAGCGTTCGTAGGTTTCATTTGTCTCAACAATAATTAAGAGTCTCTTCAAATTTCTTTATAGCTGTAGCGAAACCGTCTTTATCATTCCTAACCGTAAAATGCATCTTTCAAACAATTCCCATCGCTTGATTCGCATATTGGTTAATTACTAACAAAAATGCGTCTTCACTTCTTGAATTGCTCTTCGCATTCATCTAATCGAGAAACTACAGACCATAGAATATTAAGTCTCCCATCCTCGATGAAATACTGCCATAGTATTTCTAGAATATGAAATTTTCGCTTTGGCTTTGGCTTTTGCCTTCGACTTCAAGCCTGCATGTCTTGATCTGTATCACTATCAGACATTTCTTAGTGCGACTAAATGTCTTCTCGAACTAAAACAACGCTGTTCAGAATCCTACATCTGAAACCATGTTCAGTGGGTTTAACATAATTACATTTCAAAATATAAGCTTTCTTATGTGAACTTCACAGCGTCTAAATTAAGAGTGACTAAACATTACGTCTGAATCTGGCCAAAAACTTAACAAAAAGCTCGCCTTCCATGCACGATAAGTATCGCAACAGCTAGCAATCAAGTGTTTATTCAACATATTTGACCAACCAAAGCCTGTCTGTAATCGTAACCCTGAATCTGACAAGAAGAATCTTGTCCACAATTTGATTTGCTCATGACATGTAAAGAGAAACAGCCAACATTACATGGCCGGCACATTGTGAGAATTAAGTGTTATATAGCGTTACACAAAATGACTCAACTCAGACCAAGCTATCGATCAGCTATGCATCACGCTGATGCATGTGTGTGTGGTGTGTTCATCATTAAGATATCTAAGATTCTAAATGTTAAACAGTTCATCTAATGTTGCTAATATATTGTATTATTATACATTATAGTAGTAAAAGCAATTTGATTGGCTAATAGTTGACAGATAAATCGCGCAATCACGCAAAATTCAGTTATCTGCTAGCAGATAACTGAGTTATCTGCAATTGAGCCTGCGGTGGTTAACAAGCGGTATTAACTTGAATGTATTTATGTATTGATAATTGATGTATTTTTGGATGTTGCCATTAAATAAGGTTTTTCATTCGTTCATACTATGTTTACTATTCTTCAAATGTATAATAAAACAATTATTGAATTCGGTTTTTGTGATATGCAGAGTTATCAAGGTCTCGGTAAGCGTTATCCGCCTCGCCTTCGGCTCGGCTGATAACGCTTACCTCGACCTTGATAACTCTGCATATCACAAAAACCTCATCCAATAATTGTTTATTATTTATTAATATTTTGAAATATTCTCGCTATACATTTTCGGTATGATCTTGAATTGATAATCAATTATTGATAAATATTTTAGGGTGTAGCCGTAGGAACGAGAATGCTGAAAAATTTAATATAAAATGATTCAATATTACACAATAAAAACAATCAAAACAAAGTAATACCTTTTACTCCAAGTACAACAGAGCGGATATCAGAAATCTATTAAAAGATCGTTTTACCAGAAGAAATATGACGAACTAATTCGTTAGTTTTTTGACCACATAATTCATAAATAACAATTATCAAACCAGTGACAGTTTACTGTCTGTGGAATAAATTCAAGTATTCCTTGACGTGCAAGTGAAATTCCTCAGTTTTCCTGACTGGTCGAAGGTCCGGGCGAGGTTAATAAAGTTTATTATATGGCATAAGGCATGTATTTACAGTTGAAACAAACAAGAAATGTATGAATTCGTATTGGTAGCCTGGTACGCATTTGATAAAAAAGTACGAAAATATTGCATTATTTAGCTTAGCTAAAACCGTCTGGAGCCATCTTACTAATTTCAATAGCAATTAAATATGCCTTTCAGAATTAATTTGTGCCATTTTCCTTCTATCTTTAATACAGAAAAATAGAAGCAAAAATTGGGTCATTGCGATGTCAGAAGCAGTTTTCAAAAGCAGCAAAAAAACATCTCTTAAACATAACAGTTTTAACAAAATGATGAGCTGCTTTTTTATTTTCAAATCGTTTGTTTTTTCCAGGCTTACAATTAATGCAAACTCGATCGTTCTACAAACACATCCATTGTCTACACCGTCCATTCCCGTTACAACGACAGCATCGAGTCATATTTAAACTACAAGCAACTACAATACTTACTTACGTTGTGTAACTACAAGCTAATTTACTTAACTATTATTTGCTTTAACCACAGAGATAAAATACTTAAAAATGTTTATATATTGTATTTATATGGAGTATAGAAAAACATACGTGGTAAATTATATCGTGCATGTGCATGACAGATACTTTTATCTTGCAACTTCACGGTTATACAATAATATAAATAATATATTCGAGAAATAGGAAGTTACCACTGCGAAATCACTGCATCCATCGCTGATATTCAAGAATCAACATTTAATCATACCATTTAGGGGCTGATTACATGGACCGGGATAGCACCTTTGCCCAGCAAACAATTACATGAGTGATTTCAGCATGATAGTTTAGCAAAATGTTTTGAAATCAATTCTGTAAATGTCAATCCTTCCTAGGTTTTAAAGTATGATATTCATTCTTGTGCTTTTAGGTCAGTTTACCAGCCTCAAACGAAAATTCTACCCCGGCAACTAAGCAGGGGCGTGGCAAACGAGCTAGGATTGAAGGGAGGGGGGGGGTTGTAACGTAATATTGACCCAATTTTGATAATTTGAAATGAAAATTTGTGTATGACATCGGTGTAGGAACTTTTCTATGAGTATCACAAGCTTTAAATATTCATAAATACTAAAATAAATGTTGTTCTATGTTTGTTCAATTTGCTTAAATTTGCTTACAAATAACAAAGCAATTTGACCAACTTTTTTTATCATGCTGAATTATCAGGGGGTGTCACACCCCTCACACCACCCCCCTCCCCAATCGCCACGCCCATACGGCAAGCCGAGCTGGCCCGCTTGACACAACCACAGCCCGAGCTGACCAGGTTGCATGTAACCGAAACGTTTGAATTGACTATAATAAACTATAGGGAACGTGCCAGCCTCGCCCATGCAATCCGCCCCTTACATTATGACGCGGGTTCACATCACTATGCATGGACCTATTCGAAGTAGAGCAAGAGGTCTATTGCGAGATACACAAAAACGAGGCTAGTCAGGTTTTCTACTGCGAAAATTCCAGAATAATTCTAAATTCTAATTCTAAACTTCTAAATTTTGACTGCGGAAACTTCGTTTTTTGTACCTTGTGACATAAAATAAATATGATTTTGATATTCGAAAATCTGGTTATAACCTGACTACACCAAGAAATTGTGCTTCACCACCGGCTTCTTTCTCCTTTTCCAAAAGGTTTATGTACTTTATCTTCCAGAGGAGCTTCAAAAAATTGCTTTAGAATATAAAAATGGAATGCTAAAAACTTCTGATAAAAGTTTGGCTGACAAAACAACAAACTAATTCTAAAAGTAAAGATATCCATGATTCATCACTCATTCCAGCTATTTTAGTCCAGGTAAATCATTGACCTAAACCTTCCTTGTTATTCTTTTCACTCAAGTTCATTTCACACAAAGATGAAGAAAAATATCCTTCATTTTATAGCTTCGTTTGGCTTGCTACGAAAATGTTTTCCTTTAGATTTTAAATTCTAATGGAAGAAATCATGTTTTTCTGTATAGGGACATAAACACCTTTAACTTTCAGGAAAATAACATAAACAATTGAAAATATATTCCTTCAGTCACGGCGTAATTTTTCCGTCTGTTTCAGAGCCTTTTTTTTACTCAAAGAGGAAAAAATATAATAATGATCCATGTTA